AGCAAGAAGGAGAAGGTTAAGCACAAATAGAAATTCTGCGGATGATCTTAAAAAGAATCACATTAATTAAACATAAGCTCCTTTCTAGTCTAATTAGCACATACAGCGACATTGAGAAATATCACATGTTTCTACTGGCACTTTGGAAACACCAGGACCTTTATGTTCCAATATTTCTGCTGGTGGAGCTGGGGGATTCCCCCCTTCCCCCAGTCCAGCACATTCCATAATTACTTAAATAAATCATAAAATAAATGATAGGTCTGTAGTCCATCTAAGGTTGTTTTAAAAGCTTCTATGACAAAATGGAAAGCCTTTTTATAAGGTCTGTGGCTCACTTGAAGTCTGTGGGGTGTATTGCCTCGTGAATAACTGGGGCAGGAGAAGCCTTGCAGATTGCCACACAAATTAGTGTAAGGGGGTGTGATTACGTCTGTTACAGCTTCGCTTGACGAGGCTGAAACAGATAGCTGGAGGGTTACCAGGGGTAACCCAGGCGTTTGTGGTGCCCGAGATGTTGGCCTGGTCCTGCAGCACAGGAGGGATCAGGAGCAGGACTGTGATCCATGGCATCCCTTCCAGGCCAGCTGGCTTTTGGGGGTGCGGTGTGGGCTGCAGCACCCCAGGGTGTCGGGGGTGTCCCTCCTGCCACAGCACTGCCATGTCCATGTGGGCACCACGAGGGGGAAAAGTCACCCCTTTCTCCTGCTTTCCTTCATGCCTCTCTGCAGTCAGCCGCCCCTCGACACCCTGCCCTCCCCTTTCCATACCAGACAGACTTGGATATCACTGGTAATGGTTTACGGCCTCTTAACTCACCTACCCAGGTCTACAAGGAAAGACCCAAAGCAGGACCTGGTGTCTAAAGTCATGGCAACACCACATCTGTGTTGTGCCTCGGTGCTAGGGCAAGGACTGGGCTTGGACCATGCCTCTCCACCACCCTCTTCCCCTCACATCCCCCTCTGCACAGAAGAAATTTCCGTGCACATAAGTTACCCCAAGGAGTGCATCTTTCCCTCCATATCTTCCTTGAATATCTAAAGCCATCAAGCTCTCTCATGCTCTCTTTGGAGGTACCACATCTCTTGCATGCTCCCTGTTCCCCTGTTTTGGCTTCCTTTTACGTAAATCACTGCAACCTGCTAGAGGAGTATTAAGCTGCTGAATACATATAATTTTCATATGAAATGACAGCTAATGTCTTCAGTATCCACATAGCCTAGCCTGCTTTCCGGAGAGGCTTAATGGCTTTAAGCAGAGTCTGCTTTCCTTCCCTGTTTATGATCTTCTTATCTATCTTGCAGGAGTATGAGACATTCTGCCTTCAGGTCTGGGTGAGAGAGATTACTACTCTGCTATAGATGTTTCTAGAATAAAAAACTAGCATCTGTTGCTCAAAACCACCATTTGTTTTTCTAGCAGAGCAGATTTAGGACTTGTCCTCTCATTATTCATTCTTTTTCTGGTGTACAAACACCTTCTGGAGGCCAATCTCAGCATCCTCTGAAAAAAATGTGGGAAATCCTGAGAGCATTTGGTGGTCTGGGCAGGGTTTTGCAGGTGAGGGAGGGCTCAACGGGCTGCTCAGCAAAGCTGGTGCAGCCGCTTGTCCTGGAGCTGGCCTGAAGAAAAGCAGTGCTCCCTATGGAGTAACTGTTCGGAGGCAAAGGTGGGGCTGGGGCTGCACAGACCCAATGCAGCTCCTCAGAAGTCCCTGGTTTGGCAGCCATCAGTTGCAGGTTAGAGCTGCAGGAGGTCGAGAGGTGGGTGGCAAAAACGCTCCCCTGCTGCAGACAAGGCACCCACGTGCCTGGGTTAGTCTTGCCCAGGCCGATGGACTGAGATCTGAGGAGAGAAGGTCATAGAAAAACAAAACAAAATGAAACAGTGTCCTTGGCAGCTGCAAGTAGATGGATATCTGAAAAAGAAGACGACAGAATCTAGTAGTTTGGATATTGAGTTTTATATGTCTCTTGATGGCAGCAAGCCTGGCTGAGCAATGCAAGTGGATACTGCACTAAAAGGGAAGAGTGCTGCTAGGCTATGCAATACGAATCCTATTAAATGCCAACAATAGCAAATTTTGTCTTGTCCTGTTAAATCCCTAGACATTTTTTTCTTTTATACCTTAATTGGATTTTTTAATCCCTACAGTAAGACTAGAATAGGTTTACACAGAAAAATGTCATGGACCCAGGTACTCTCCTCATCCTCCTTCTGCATCTCTCCCTCTGTGATCCCTCTGGACTAGGCTGCAGAAGGGAGAGCTAAATGCAAGTGGACAGTCTCATCCCAAAGGCATTTCTCAGCAGGCACTTCTTTCTCACTGAGTTGGTTGAAACCAAACTGGCTCTAAAACATGAAGCCCTGCAGTAACAGGCAATGCGGCACAATTTTGAGGTGTTGAAAAGGTTCCCACTTTACACAGGAGAGCAGTGGTCCATATATTTTAGCTACTAAGAACTGCAATGTTAAGTGATTAGGCAATCAAGATCATAAATCTCATTGACTTTTCTGCCCAGAGAAGAGACTTAAGTGACTTAGACACTTGGAGAACTTTCATGAGAAGTCTCAGACTACAGCTTCAGCATGTTTGTCTTTAAAATACGACCTCGATTCCTGATGTTGTCTGAGATAAGACATGTATTGGAGTGTTCCTTGCTCAATTTTCGGCGTGCTGCATTGACAGGACAGAAAAAAAAATCAGTTTGCATATATGAATGAGAGGAAGAACAATAAAGGCCATGATTTTGTCACAGCTATTTCCATTACAATACCAAAGACTTTTGAGAGGGTATTTTCTTAGTACAATGTCACTGTTGTTTGTCATGGAAATCACATCTCAGACAAAAATCAAAGCACTGGCTTCACAAATTATCTGTGCTCCCCTCAGTCTGTGATGCCTCAGACAACACCACAGATTCACCGTGTGCACATAAAATGCAAGTTAAATATATTGTACAGGCATCTTAATTGTTTTACAAATAGGAGTTGATGTGTAGTCATATTTTAAAAAGCATATTAAATATAATTTTTTATAAAGTAGTAGGGCTATGAAATAGTTGGGAGGAAAACCGTGAGAAGAAGACAGGAAAGACAGAATTAGCCCCTGGAAACCAGCACCCTGAACTGTGTTTGGTAAATAACAGATCTCCAGGGGAGCAGCCCTGGACCTGTGACTTGGCTGTAGAAAACCTTGAGTTGTGCCACCCAAGGTTACAGACCTTGCCTGTCTATAACGCTGACAGTGTCTCTCAAAATCAGTCCACGTTTGACTGACAGGGAAGCCCCAAGCTGACGGAGCTGTTCTGTTCTGCATTTGTCCAACAAGCCCTCTTATTTCAGCAGGATAGACTGACCTGCCAAGTGGTGACATCCTGAAGAACGCAGTGACACCCCATAGAGGAGAAATGGTGGGACGCTATTCCCCGAATTATACAACCCTCTTCACATCAAGAACAGAAGCAAAATTATTTATTCAGGAACCACAGCACTATGGCATAATACCTCCCCATGGACATGGGTTACTTTTACTTGGCAAATAATTAGCGCATCTTCCTAGCACAGAGCTAAATAATTTAGTAGAAACATTTCCCTGCTTAGAAGAATCTCCCTGAGCTCCTGGTCGGCAGGTCTGGGTTAGGTGACCAGCAGCCCTCCTGATTCACATCAATCCTTCCCAAAGAACTGGGATAATCTCCATTCGCTGCCAACACTGTCCTGTAAGCTCTCAGATCCAGAACTGGTTTACTCAGCCAGTCCCACTACCAGGGTTTCTGGTTTCTCCCACTGGAATGAGTTATCCTGAAATCACCCCAATGCCAGCGCAGAAGATCCCTCCAGTGCTGGTTCTTCGGGTTAGGCAGAGGCAACTCCGAAACCCAGATGGAGCCAGGATGGGGAACAGAGGAAGGAACTATCCCACTGTTACCTGAGGCCACTCTTGACCTGAATGGGAAAAAAAACACACCACCCTACACCAAAATTATATTATCATTTGAGCTACTTAGCAAGTTAA